GGGGAGCCCCGGGCCCGAGCGGGGCGGCGGGCGGTGGTGGCGACGCGCGGGCTCCTCGAGGTGTTGCTGGTCTGAGTCTTGGCCTCGGTTTCCTGGTGGGAATTTTAGTAAACAGCTTCGCGGGAATATAGCCCGTTAAATTTAGCAGAAAAGCGTAGCGCATCCTTTAAGTTGGCTGCTCCGGCGGGGCTGGCTGCGCTGGGCGCGAGCTTTTCATGTTATCCGTCCTTGGTGATGGTGGTGCCTGTGGCTGCAGCGGGCCTGAGGAGCTGCCCTCAGAAGCGGGACTTTATTCAGGGGTCCTCGGGTTGCCTCGTGAGCGCTACCTCATCCAGGCTCCTTGGGACACTTGGGAGCTTTGAGTGTTTCCATCCCGAGGGTGGATGTGTAATTTCTCGTTAATGCCTTCTGGTTTATTAAGCTTGTGAGCTGCGCAAGGGTCATATGCAGGAAGAAACGAGCAAATAATCAAACAAAAAACCTCTGAGATAAAAATGTGAAAAATTGAAAGCCCGATGAAGCTTTTGCCTGATGACAGTTACAACTTTTAAGGTAGCTGGGTGCAGTCCTTTCAAAAGCACTTGTTCTTGCCTTAGGCTTTTAGTGCAGCTCTCTGCTAAAGAAAAACAAAGTATTTATTGGAAAGTTAGTGTAATGTGCTTGTGCCTTGTAATTTTTCTCTGTGTGTGTTTTTCTTCCTCCCCCTTCCCCCCCCCGCCACCCCTAACTTCGGGGGGGGGGGGAACTGGAGGAGAAGAGCCCTCCTTAATGACAACTTTCAAATGGTTGCACTAAAATGTTTTCTTCCCTTTCCAACTTTTTTTTGGTCTTAAAAGATAGTAGAAATTGTTTTCTGGAAACTTGGGAGTTAAATTATTCATGTGAGGTTTAGAACTCTGTTGGATTAGATATATTTCTCTCCATTTTTTTTTGTTTATTCTTCATATCCTGTAAAAAGACTGCACAAAAGAATAAAGTATTGAATTATCTTCTCAGCTATGTGAAAATCTGTTTGAAAAGGCATATTCTTTATTGTGTTCATATGAAACTCTGAGCTTTCTTGTGATTTTTTTTTCCTCATGGTGTTGTCTTAAATTATATTGTTTTCATGTTAAATGATGAAGTAAATGATATAATTTTCATACTAGCTCTACTTTGGTGGATACTTTAAAGTTTTTTTTTTGTTTGTTTGTTTGTTTGTTTTAAGCGGCTGAAACAGAGCTAATTTCTGGTGGATCAGATAAGCAGCTTATTCTTTGGGAGTGGAATGGAATGGGAACATGGAATAATCAGGTAGGCCGAAATAATATCACTTCAGACCTGCTTCTTATTTTTATCTAGTTTCTCAAGTTCCATGAGTAACATCATTTAAGTTGTCAGATTACTTGTTTTATCAGTATTATTTCTTTATTGTTCCTTGACTATTGAACCCCAAAAGTATCTTCTCCAAACGGTGTGTTTTTTAATTCCTGTGCAAACAGAATGTTGATACAGTGTGTGATGATAGTTATTCCTGTTTCTCTTCTACAGCTTTTTCAAATCGGCTTTCCATTAAGAAATTAGCTAACCCTACATCACGTGCATTTGCCTCAAAGATCTTGTATCTCTGTTCTAGTCTTCAGATTTTTTTTTTTCATATAATACCTTTTGGTTTTTTACTGCATTGTTCTTTATACTGTGATTTTTTTTCTTTTGAAACTTCTTATGCACTTTTTCATTGTTACTGTATGTCCATTTCTAATGATTTCTGGTCAGTCCATGTAACAATGTTGTTTACACTTCTGATCAGAGTATCTGTGTACTGGTACAAGTTGGAGTATCTCTATTAAGAAAAAAAAAAAAGGGGGGGGGTATGCAATAGTTGAATTTTGTGAAGAGATATAAGGAGATTTTACTAATTTATTATTGATGGTGTAAATATGTAATGGCAGAGATGAAGTATGGCATAATACAAGCCTTCAGAATAAACCAAACCTCGGAAGAAAATTTACTTTAAGAGGAAAAGCAAGCTACTTGGTACTTTGTCTAATTTGCTGTATAACTTCTTAAATCTAACTAGCCGCTGATTTGTGAATAGGAGTATGGTATAGGAAAACCATTTCACAGCCTATCTCAAGGTAGATCAGGCTTCCTGAAAGTTTTTTAAATGTGCACGACTAGTAATGCGCTAGGGGGAAGTGCACCTAGGCTAAAGAATCTTGGGCTTGTTTGACTGGGGAACACACACACGCACACACACGTGAGCCACCTTCCTGGCTGACTTCCACCTGCTGTGAATATTTAAAACAATAAATCAAAATTTATTATTTAAATCTGTCTTTAACCTGTTTTTCCACTAATGTGCTGCCCAGCCTAATGACGATCTTTGGAAAAGAATGAGTAAATGTGTACATTTTAACAATGATTCTAAACCAGTGTAAAAGTAAAGTTCTGTTGGTTCAAAGTGATCTGCCAGCTCTTCTTTGAAAGAGATATCAAGAGTATTTGTGCCAAAGCTTGGATAAATGCTAGATTTATTTTTATTTTTTATATTTTTTACTGCTGTATCCCTCTCCTCTGTTTTTCTTGGAATATGCTGTAGCTTAAGCACATGCTTGGCAGAAGGTCTGCAATCAGAACGTACAATTTATTTTCACTATTTTCACTATTAAATTATTTTAAAAAAAGGAAGTTTCTTAAAAATATTCTTGGATAAGCTGTTGGAACTGAATTTTGTTAACTTTGTGTAATTCTTTCTGCCGTACTCAGCTTGTGAGAAGCGTTCCTCTCGAAGGCCACACCGAAGCTGTTTGTGCAGTGGATGCTGTCTACCAGTCAGATGAACCTGACTCACATCTGTTAGTAGCTTCGGCAGCTTCTGACTCTACCGTGAGAATCTGGGCTCGGCGAGGAGGTTCAGAAGGTAAAACTTGTTAATATTAGGGCCAGTATACTACTGGCTTAACATCTAAGTGTAGAAGTGGAGAATGCATATGCACTGGAGCACTTCTATCTGGCTGAAGACTGACATCTTCTAAAGCGAGGCACTGATTTCTCTTCAGACTTTGGTCCCTCAAGCAGCTGTATGACTGTCTGGAAGCTCTTAAGGTTGTACTAGTTTAATAACTCTGGGTCTAATTAAATTTAATTTTTGATCAATGATTATGTTGTCTGAACTTACTGATGATAGGTTCTTTTAATGTGTTTTCAAAATCCAATAATTTGGACCCTAATTTGCCACTGGAATATGGGTGCAAAGCTACTCCTCTGTGTGTCTGAAGTGAAATGAATTCATTAAATGATAATGCTGTCCTTAGAAAAATGAGGTTAAATTGGTCATCTGTTTCCTAATGCTGACTTGAGTCCAGTGAAACATGAGATAGTCTTGATCTTCTGTTGAACTGTGCTATTCATGCAGGTGAGTAGCTCTTTGGAATACATAAATAATAACTGGATAATTTAGATCTAGATGCAAAGCGTTACTTTAGTTGAATTGCGCTGGCAACAATTCTCAAACTAGTTTCTCCATTAGCTGCTGTACGTGAGGATTGTCCCTTGTCCTGCCTACTTTGGAGGAACAGGCTGGACTTGCTGGCCTTCTACAGAATGTTCCCCCGTGCTCTGAAAGGACACCCTCAAGTCCTGGCTTTTCCCTTCTGTCTTGCTGTTGTGTGATAGGACATTTTTAATTCTTCCTCTGTAGGAAGTATATTTTGCTTTCCTGTCTGTTAATCTGATCTTAATGTTTCACCAGTTTAACCACTTATAGAGTCTTAGGGGCATTTGGAGGAAGGGTGACTTTCAGTAGTTCGACATACTAATTGCTTAAAATGAGTTGTACAGTTTCTTTAGTAGCCTTAATACTAGGTTGACAAATAGTGATTTCTAAATCAGCTGGTTTTGAATGGATTTCCATAGTAGACAAAATGTAACTTTATTATTTTAGGATTATTTTTTCCCTCTAAAAAAAACAATATCTCTAAAATAAAATTGAATGGGAATAAATGCTGTTTGTTCTCATTTTTCAGTTAAATGCATTCAGATATTGCAGTTTGGAAATGGATTTATTATGGATGTTTCCTTATCTTTCTTGCCTGGCAGCAATGGTGAGTATAGCTGCAAACCTTGAATATCAACTTCGGAAAAATAAAACCTACAAAACTCCCAAATCCCCCAAATGTTTTATAAACATTGTAATAGGATTTTCTGTTGACCAACTCCAAAACTTTGGCCTTATGGCCTTTACTTGCTTTTTTTTTCCTCCTGTTTTTAATTCCTAGGGAATCATTGTAAACTACTGCTAATATTTAAATATTTCTGTTGATTGTGTAGCAATTGGAATAATTGCTGATTATAGCAAATGGAGTTTCTCTGTAAGATAGAGGGAATAATAAAAAGAATAATGGAGCTGGAAGTGAATGGGATAATGAGGCTACTTGTTTCATGTGCTCAGCTGTGGTACAATTGTTTCGTTCATTTGGATTGAATGGCAATATGACGAGAAAGAATTTGCATGCCTGCATCAAAATTGCAGGCAGAAAAGCAGTGTTCACCTGCTCTTCAATCCTAAATAAATACAAAAAAGTTTGACTGGTGAACAATTTTAGCCTGTATGTTCAGTATGGTTGATATAGTTGTGTATTAATGTCTGTGTTGAGCGTTTTTCCATAGTGAAGCTGCTTTTGAAGCCTGCTACAGATATTTTTCTGTTACAAATATCTAGAAGCTCTTTTTCTTCCTCAACTTAATGTTGTCCTTTTCTATAACCATACTAGCCAGATGCATGCGTTTTGTTTGGTTTGTGTTTAAATATTGTTAGTCTTCCATCTATATGAAGGAGTACTGAGCTTGCAATGGAAAAAGTACAGGGGATTCTTGCTGTATTTGGAATTATTCTGTGCACACATTCACTTAAGAACTGTGAAGGGATATGTTCTTTAAGTGTGTGCCTCCAATACAATTATACAGAAGCTTAGTTTCTGTGACTTGTTATAGTTTTTCTATCTCATAAGAACTGTACCAAGGGAACAAAATGCATTGTTTAGAAATAGTAACATCTGCTTTCTGAACATGTGTGGTATCAAAAGTGGTGTTACTTATCAGCAAATACCTTAAACCCTCTCTCTATTCTTCATATACTGGTAGATGGTTGTTGAGATGATGTAGGCAAACTTCTGTTTGAAGTGATATACCTATGCTGCCAGTACAAAAATCAGTATAAAATTCATACTTTGAAGCAATAGTTTATTTCTTCACTTATGACACTGTACAGAAGAGTTTCTCACTTCAAAACTCCAGAGCACTGCTTCAATTTAACATTGAAATCATGTTGTATGAGAAGTGAATACTCACTTTTTTGCAAATTATCATACTAACCTATAATGCAGATTTTTAAAAACTTCTTAAGACTAGTTGCTTCCAAAACAAACACCTTGAGAAACAACACCCCTTGTTCTGAATACTCAAAACCTCGTGTTGCTTAAACTTGTATTTAAAGCAGTTAATCCTTTGCTTTCCCTTGTTAACTAAAATTATTTATCCAAAATAACACAATGCTCATAGAACTCCAAGAAGAGGTACGTTTGTTTATTTTTTTAGACTAGAATTATTTCAAACCTGAAATGACTTGCTTAGTCTTTCTAAGAGAAAATGTTTTTATTATACTATTCACTTAGGTTTTGAATACTTATTCCAATATGAGTGATTTGTGCTGTCAGATTGGTAAGAAACAGTTTAGGTTTCAAACCATAACAAACAAACATATATATATATGTGTGTGTGTGTGTGTATGTACATAGACACACACACACACATATATATAAAACTTGTATTCTTGAAATACATGTTTATTTTGCATAGTATTAGATGTCTTAAAGATACAGTATCATGCCATCCAATATATTTGTATCACTATATTTTGTCTCATTTCTGTCATTGTTTGTCACAAATATTAGTTTTTTTTCTTACTTTTTGACATGACCAGGAAGACTCTTTGACTCTATTTTTTTTTTCTTTCTTTTTCTTTTTTTTCCCTCCCCCCCTCCTTTCCAGTACCAATCTTGGCTTGTGGTGGTGATGACTGCAAGATAAATTTGTTTATACAGCAGGATGGTCAGGTAATTAGAGCTTTTGTCTTTTGTTTAGAACAGTGCAAATTTTTTTCTGCTTCCTTTGTGTATTTTTTTTTCTTTTTTTATGTGCTACTGATGACGTTTTGAGATTTTTTCAGTAACTGTTATCTGTCTCTCTAGATAGACATAACTTGAAGAGCATTTGAATTGCTCTTGTTTAAATATTCCACTTGTTTCCTAGATGATGATGATCCTAGTTCATATTGGAGCTGTAAATATAGAAGACTTGCAACTCCAAAGCTAGTTGTCCAAGGCTGTATGTGCTTGGTAATCAAGTATGTTTCTGTGATGTAACAGGAACTTTTGTTCAGTTTCAGAGAACATTAACACTCCCTGGCCACGAAGACTGGATAAGAAGTGTTGAGTGGGCAGTGTGTGGTCAGTATGAAAGATCAATAAGGTGGAATAGTGGTTTTAATGACAGTAATGTTTTACTGCTCAAAGGGATTGTTTTGGTGCTCTGTAGCTTCTAAGCAGTTTTGACTGGATTTTTTTATGAGATGGTGATGCAAAGACTATGGTAGTTTCAGTTGAGTAAAGACAAGGTAGTTCCAATTGAAGATGTGCGGTTTATTAAAAATAAAGGTGGAACTTTGTGTCTCCTCTTCAAAATATAAGTTATTGAACCTATATGATAATTTTTAGTTCTAGGAATTATGGCTATTTTGAGACTGATGCAAAATACTGTATCTTGTGTTGGCCTACCCCATTTGGTTTTGCCTGGATAAAAACAAGCAGGAAGTTTAGCAGCTTTTTCTTGTGCTGGTGTCTGCAGCCGAATGAAAGACCTGGCTGCTTTAATGAAGCCAGTGGCAGTAGTCTTCTCCCTG